CTATGTGACCTATCCATCATTTTCCGAAATAATATACCTTTTCACGTATCTTGGAAATAAAAATAGATTCGAAATATATGTAAATATAATAGTATCATTCTTATGGGGATTGAGAAAAGGAGATCAGGGCGGAGACAGCCAAATAATCAAAGATTTGTTTCTGTTAGCCTTGGCCAGGAAGTCTTTGTCCCAGCAAGTTCAATTCACAACTCTCGTCATATTGGGTGCCTCAGGTTGCATAAGACAGTGACAATAATTTGGGAAATGTGGACAGCTGGCACAGCACCGTGCAACCAATCTCAGCATGTCTCAGAATTGTGCTGTAGCCCAGCTGTGATACATGGTTTGATGATTGCAACGTTGACGTCACTTCGCAACTGGCGATGCTCTCTTCGTTTGTCCACATACTGCAGATGATATCAACCATGGTCTCCATATTTGCATGATGTCAGCTGTCGTGATTGTGGCATCTCCTGCTTCCCTTGCTCTGATGCAGGTAGACATATAGACTCAGTTTGCGCCGGGTGCGGGACGAGTCTCACCCCACTGAGCACACTGAGCGCAGCACTTCCGAGAAGTATTGAGCAATAGCAAAGGAAGCTTCTCGCTGAAGATCATGACCTGGGGCCGGGGTGCGGGGGACTGACATCTAACGGTCCGCATCGAGGGCCGCTACGGTAGCCATCCACATCGAAGCCGCCGGACATGTACAGGACCTGGACAGTGCTGCATGTTGCAGTTGAGTTGGAATCGATTGGAAAAAACCGAGCGAGGGCTTCACCTCGACCGTCGTCAAAGTCCTGTTCAGCACAGCGCGGCAGGGCTGTTTCTTCATCTCAGGCATGCTGCTGAATGCTGCAGCCTCCCAGAAAGTCGAAGACGCGCCTGCGAAGGGGGCTTCTCTGTTGAAGAGTTGCCCGCAAGTCACCTTCCGACGCGGCCAGCCTCAGCGCTGAGCTCGCCCAGCTTGACCACGGCTCGACCAGAGAAGAGCGTAGTCTCCGGATCAGTCAGCCATCCTGGCCGAGCAACAATTACCGATGTCGCTGGGCAAGAAGGTCCTTTACAGGGGGCTTGTGTCAAAGACGATCCTGCCTTGAAAGCGTCGCTTGCCCACCACCATCCGTTCTGTCGCGACAGAGCCTTCACATCGCATCCACGGATTGCTGAGTACTGGCAAGTCGATGCCCCGAAGTCCTCAACAACGGGCCTGGCCAAAGCGTCAGCACCTGCTTTGCTGAGATAAGCCAGTCTGAATACACGGGACCCTCTGTTCTACTCTCTAGAAGCCGAGAAGCGCTGATGGAGCAGTTCTGTAGCTGGCATGCGAGAGCCAGCACCATTCGGTCATATGCGGCCTGCTATGCCGTCCCAGCTTGAGATGATGCGCTTTAAAGGCATGCAGGTCGCCTTGTTCACGTGATATGCCACAGGGAAGACCTGAAAGAGAGGAGTCTGCTGTTCGCAGCAACAACTTGTGTCGAAGACTGCACAGCCGCGCGGAATCCTGTAGGGAATTGATTCAAGTCTTTCCCCACCTGTGTGTTCCCTTGCGACCCACCAGAGCTCACCTCAAGTACGACATGCAAATGCTACATGTACTCAGCATCCAGAACAAGGCACATGAACGCAGGGCAGTCTCAACGCACATCGCAGCAGCTGCGGTCTAATGACAGCAACGTTTCATCCTGTGCAAATGTTTACCACGCAGGCGACTTGCACAGAAAAGGCTCGACAGAAACCGATCTAAACAGCCAAGCGACGTTGACAACACATCCACGTGCCTTACTCAAGAGATCTCGCGACAACCTCGCAGCTGGCCAAAACGCACAAGCCTAGCCACGATCTCTAAAGGGCCTTTGATCCCTCCCATGCGGCGGCCGAGTGTCAAAGTGAGTACCACATGGTTACGAGCTCCGATGCAGAATTGCTCGTCCAAGAGCCTCTCATCCAGAGCGATCTCCAGCCCAGCTTAGCACCGAAAACCAACCCGGGCCTGCAGGGCTGCTGCCACACGGGGGCCGAAAAGAAGAGCGTGTCCGGCTTTGGCATCAGGAAGGCGTTGTTGACCTCGCAAAGCGTAGCAGGGCTCCGAATCTCCGGCTCTGGGGCTCTGGGGCTCTGACAAGCAGGTCAAGCCGCCCGTGCAGCTCTGAGAGCAGCTTCACAAACCTCTCAGCGGGGCAAAACCCATCTCGGCCCCGGAGTCGAAACTCGAAAAAGAACCGGGCAGGTGACTGCTTCGACTCATCGTCCAGGGTGTGATCGATGTAGGCTGCTATGCCTCGCAGCAGGGCACGAATCTTACGCACGCAACCCGTCGTACTTGACATGCCTCCGTCCTAGTCCGATATGGAAAGAGCATCATCTTTGCAAAAAGGCTGCTTCGCCTGTTGAGTGTCCCACACGCTTGCGTTTACACCATCCCGTCAGGTCTCGGAGAGGGTATTACAGCACAATAGAACAGATGCTAAACTGCTATACCACAGTAATAGGACTGAAGAAAAACAAGCATTCAGCATTGTAGTCGAAATCGGCCGTGGGTAGTTCGCGACTTTCCAGTGTTCGATGAATTCGACGAATCTGGACGAAATCCATTCAGCAAAAGGGACGCTGCCTGCACCACCTCGTCGAGTAGCTGCGCTGGCCGTGGCGTCCACGGATCCCTGCAGCAGGACCTTGCTTGCCAGCCATAATAACAACAAGAAAAGGATAGTCACAATACTAAAACAAGAACTACCCTGGCTAATGACAATTATGATGAGTAGTACATTAAGGCTTCACAGGAAGACCTGCCTCTGTTTGCCGCGAGGAAGTTGACCGACCCGTCACGTAGACGATGCAGCCTGCACATGGCGATCGTCTGCTATTTCACGGCCACAACTAAGCGAGCTTCTCCGACTCAAAAAAAAAGGAAGTCGTCCCTTGTCGTCACTCCTATTCCTCTATGAAGTCTGCGAAAGTCCGGTAGGCTGCCTGCCGCAGCAAGCTCCAGAGCGATGCCGCGGCCAACCCCTCGACTTGCACCGGTCACGATGCAAATGGAGCTATGCCTCATCGAAACGCACAACCAATGGCGCTGCTGTCACCCTGGAAACTAGTACGGCGAGGCTCCGGAGTGTGATGGAAATGGTGAAAGTATAAATCAAGAAACAACAATACGAAGCATCAGAATAATATCAATAAGAAGACCAGCTTGTATTTTGTAACACTTGTAACAACTTAATAACAACACGAAGAACAGCAAGACTTGCCTCAGACCTTGGAAGGCCTTCCACACACAGAAAGCTGCCGCAGGCACTCACAGCAAAGTCACCGCAAGCAGACAGATCATTAACCTGGCCTTCTACCTGCAAAGGCTCGACAACATCATCAATCACCCGGACAGCATCATTGAGATCATGCTCCCATGGCCTCCAGTACCGACGTCCGAGCATGAATTGCGAGAGAAAATTCTCGTTCAAATCCCCTGTCCGTCTCCACATTGTCCAATGTGATCAGTTCCAAAGCCCTCGGCTCCCAGGCTTTTTGCCCAAAGCCCCTAAGATCTCCTCAGGGAATCAGTGGGGACGAAAAAAGACACAAGAATAGCAAAAGTGATATGGTAAAAATAGGAATCTTGAACACGGAGCAATGACGAAGCAGCCTAAGGCCCACACGGATGCGGCATTTGAATCTACAAGTGCCCCCCCTTTTCAAAGAGTCAAGATGCAAGGTGTAGCTGGGGACGCTTCCCACGAGCGGCACCTCGGGGCAGTGATAGGCTGACCTCAACTGCCCTCGCATTCCGATCACTCCTCTTGGTGAAGCACAAGATGCGGAGTAGCACAGGTTGAAGCTGCGAAACCTCCGGCGCGCTCAACGAAGCACTGGACCACCCAAGCCAAGGAAGCTCCCAAGCTCTTGTGTGAAAAACAAACAAGAACAGACTGCGAACAGCGTCGGTTGATAGCAAGGTGTTAACAAGTGCGAACGATAAACATCGAAAGAAGATATCCTAAACCATAAACGCGATGCAGTAAGGAAACGCACTTAAAACCCGATCTAATAAACGCACACAACCTCCTAACCCCTAAAGCTCTAACCCCGACATCGCAAGAAACCTATCCTAAGCCTTGTACCTGTAAGAACAGATCCAGGCCTCGGCCTGTGGACTGCGCAGTGCTCGGCGCCACGCGGGCATTGGCCGTCATGAGCCATTGTGTCCGATCGTTGGGTTTCGGGATTGATAGAGGGTTAAAGGCTTTAGAGCGAAGGGCATAGGGTTTTCTGGCTCAGGGTTAGGCTGCACTCGCTGCAGCAGAAGTTAGCACGCGTACAATCCCGAAGCCAACTCATTTACGAAATTGAGCTGGTTAAAAATCAATTCCACCAGTCTTCTAGCTTGTGTGCTGGTCGACGAGCTGCTCGCACGCACAAGCCACAGAAATTCGCTGCGCGTTCTGCAAAATGGGAACAGAAGATCAACCGCCACAAACACATCTCATGCTGCTTCATCCCCACGCATGCAAACGCAAGGCTATCTCTGTTTTGCGCCCATTTAGCCAGACGTCAGAAGAATGCGGCGGCATCCTGTCCCTGCTTCTGTGCCTCCCCAAGCAGGGCTTGCACTTCAAAGAAGATTCAGGCATAGGCCTAGGCAGTGCCTGCGGACTCTGTGGCCACTCGCGACGGGCGCGGATGATATAGATGCCAACACTCCAGAAAAAGGTCCCATGGCCACCGACCTCGCGAAGCTGAGAGACTTCCCTCTCTTAAAGTTCCTGGGGCCCACCTGGAGATCCATCACGGGGACGCAAAGACTCCTCGGACTCGCTGCGACGGTCCTGCAATTGACAGAAGAGATCTTTTATCTTCGTTATATGCTCTCAGCTGCACGCCGTGTCCTTAGCAACTTGTGGTTTGGGGCTGGGGCTCAGCCTTGCAGATGACGATAAATGTCCCAGGCCTTAAAACCATCACTGCCGGACTGGACGGCAGCTTGAGCCAAGAAGTCGTCCTTAGTTCCTCACATGACTCACGCCGATGTCAAAATGGCGCGCGTCGCGGAAGATGGCGAAGTACGAGCGAGCCTCAGCTCAGATTTTCAATGCTACAACATTGGGCAATATCACAACCGAGATCGAGGACGCCGTGTTCGAAACTGCTTCTGCCGGCTTCCACCAGCTTGCCGTGGGCCATTCCAATCACTCCATGCCAGCTTCTCTCGACGACATCACAGCATTGCACCAAGGAGCACTGTGCAGGGCTGCTGTAGAGCTGACGCTACCATCATTTGCAGCGCGCCGCGTAAAGTCCTGACCTGGCATGAGCAGGGCTATCCTACAAAAGTGGGGCTGCCTAATCCGGTGGGCGAAGATTGCTTGATCAGCGGGAAGAAGCTGAGGCAGCAAGCAAACGGTGCCAAGCCATGCACCTTCCATGCAAACTTCTCGGAAACGCGGACAGGTGAAGTGGACACCTGAAACAAGAGAAGGCTAGAGGCCAAAAGAGGGTAGTAAGCACCAATTTAAGCTTCGGGATCCTGCGTCTGCGGCCTGGAGGAAGTGGATGCTTTCCATACTACCACATATGTCTGATTATGAGGCCGGTGTAAGCTTTTGTCTGCAAGATGCCGAAGATTCAGTTTTCTTCCCTGCAGAATCCAAGCAGACAAAAGAGGATGGACATGTTGATAAATAAGCAAATACCTTATTTACGTCAATCTGTCTCTGTTTGATTTTTCCGTCCTGCAGACATATGCACTCATGTCCAGACATTTATGTTTGTATGTATGAGGTATGAATGAATGTATGAACGCTTGCATGTGTGTACGTATGTATGCGAGTATGTATTCATGGAAGTAAGTATGCATGTACGTGTGTCTGTATGGATGTGTGTATATCATGTGTATATATATATAGAGAGAGAGAGAGAGAGAGAGACAGAGAGACAGAGAGAGAGAGAGAGAGAGCGAGCGAGAGAGAAAGAAAGCAAGAACTAAAGAAATCAAGCAAGATAGACAGAGAGCTGCTTATATCCTATCCTAGGTACACATGTACAGCCGTATACACACGCACAACGATGTGGCAAGGCATGGCATGGTTTTGGCCTGTGTCTGGTAGACATACTGAGACACCCTGGGCCGATATGAGTAGTTCTCCAAATTAGGGTCCCTTTAGAAGGGTGCCGTACTAGGTTTGGGGACCTTAACAGGGAGCCAAACTCAGAGAAACTACCCATATGAAGGAGGCGAGTCCAAGGAGCTGATGGCAGCACTGCGGAAGCGACCCCATGCTTCGCCTCTCCAGAATGTTAAGGGAAGTAAAGCATGTCTACAAGTGGCAGGAACGATAAATCAACGCACTGATAGGGAAACGTTGTGAGCTGTTGTGGCACTTGCTAGAAGTTAGTTCTTATACGCATGCCGCTAACAACAATGTCTGCTGAAAGCTCAGATACAAAAAGCTCGCCTGCCAGAGCACGTCGCGCTGCTAAACGCTGAATGGGCTCAGCCACTCGGCAGGTGCGCTCGTCCAATGCAAACAGTGCGTGGACCTTCAGGGCTTGCGGCTTCGGGTTTAGAGGGGCCCAGATGTGGTGGAACTGCACAGACATTTTTGCACAAAGCCAAGTTCTCGCAAGCGGTCAACCCGCCGAAGCGGTCTGAAGTTCTGAGCCCCCTGCTCGGAATTCCATCATCTCCAAGCAGTGCGCAACTTGCCTCCGTCTTGCCGAAAGCAAAGAGCTAGGAAGTGCCAGTTGGCAAGCTTCAAGCAGCCTTCAATGTGCTTTTAGTATAATACAATGTAATTACAGCATGATCATATACTATAATATATTATTATATACTACTATAATGTACTACAATATACTATGATGTTAGAGTCATGTCCGGCCTTGCAGGCAAAGCCCCCAAGCTCCAACCACCCAGGATCAGCGGCCCTACCAGGGCAAGGCATTGTCGAGCGATGTGCTAAACAGAATCTAAGAGGCTGAGCTCAGCTCGCCACAGCCAAACTACCATTCATGCCGACTCGTCTTAGACTTTGTATCTCTTCAAAGGCATCTGCCAACGCATCCATGGATAAGCTGCAGCATATCCTCCCGATAGTGTGAACCGGGATCAACCCTTTCAGTACCTCCCTTGCTTGCTTGATTTATGCAACGATGGCATGAACGAGCTACAGCAGCACTGACCATAGCAGGAAACGGCCTTAGAGTTGGGCATAGCAGCAAACCTCGGATGTGAAGGCCCAGCAGAACGAAGCATCGGTTAGGGAAAGCTTGGCGGCTTGGCGAGCAAACCGGGTTGAGTCGGATTGGGGGTTTGGGGGCAGTCGGCTAGCGTTGCCTCACGCAATCCTAAAGCGATTCAAGTCAGTAGGGAAGCGACGAGTGTTAGAGCAACATTGGAAGCCTTTGGCACACAAAATGGTATGGGGTTGTTGCTGGAGCGGATTCTTTACTATGGCAGGCTTCTTAAACATGACCGGTATGCACACGCAGAACTCACCGATTCTTCGCTAACCCCAGGTCATGATGCTTAGCCCAGGACAGGCACTGGGCCAGGGTCGTGAAGCCGAAACGACCAAATGCATCCATTGTATCCTGGGAAAGGTTCAGTGTAAACTACAGTTTTGCCGCACGCATGAACAATTAATTTCGTCGTGCCGCTCTGCCTCAAACACACGGACAGACACACGCACACACTCTCTCTCTCTCACTCTCACTCTTCTTCCTCTCTCTCTCTCTCTGTTCTGGGCCTTTGCTGCCCGTCAGCAGATTTTGCTGCTGGCAAACAGCTATTGAGAACTGTGCCAACTGGCGCTCTGCGCTGCACTCTACACCAAAAACAAGGCAAAATGCATCTCATGGTCGCCTAATGTCGAGGGCCTCAGGACTAACGAAACATGTTTCGTGCAAAAACAATCAAAAACGTTTCTCCCCCTGAGGCACATCACTCTGATCCCTCAGCTTCTCAATGGGAGGCCTGTCCCACCTCTGCTGCCGCCACCTCCACCTTCGAACGGGACCCTGCCCTTGCGCTCATCGCACTCAGCATCGACATAGGCCTTGTCCAGTTGGCCCATGGCTTGCACCATCTCAAGCGGGACGTGTGGCATAAAAAGTCTTCGCTGTGGTCGTCTGGGCTTGTGAAGCCGAAGTCGCCACACACACACACACACACACTCAAACTCATTTAGTCACTCATTCACTCGCACACACATACACACACACACACTCACAATCACACTTCCGTTGTCTTCCTTCCTTTCTTCCTTCCTTCCTTACTTCACACACACACACCCTCTCTCTCTTGACCTCTCACTGGGTGTTCGCATGCCTTACCTTCCATTACATTAGCACTCCCAAGTTCGAACCACCGGTGCTCAGGACGTCGCCACAGCGCAGTGCTCCCCATAAGCGACCTTTGCGGATGAATGCAGGTCTTGGATGGCCCTAGCAGCCGAAGCATCGGGAGAAACAATCCGACACAGTCGCAAACGCCTTTGCAACCGGGTGGCTCTCGCGAACGAGGAGAATGCACTGCCCAGTTCACCGGAGCGTGCTGCACCAGAAAAGCAGCAGACCGGCATTATCTTCTCGTTGCTGCTCTCCGGCAAACTTGGCGCTTGCTCTGCAAGCTGATGCTGAGCTTGGCGATCGAAACGTTTCGGATTCCTAGCGATGTTCTTCCTTCTGTCAACACGTACTGCCGTAACATCGACAGAGCCTTTCGCTTCTGTGTTGGAGAGCTTCAATTCACCACGGCCGCCCCTTACAACCTTCCAGGGCATCCTGCAAACACCCTTCTTCAACAGCGATGCCTTCGCAAGGCTACCCTTAGCAAAGGCCTTCTGGTGACTGTGGCATGCTTGATGGTTGCATGCAGCTAGGTAAACCCCACCATTTTTGTTAACCATTCCTGGCCAATGGTAGCCACGGTGGGTGGCAGATACATGCGCAGAGCAAGCGGCCTGCGCAACAAAAGCCAGCAGCGATTTGAGGCGCGGTGAGTCTCCACGGCGGCGACGGAAGCTTAACTACTGGGTATCCGACATCACAGCCAATGTGTACTATGACAGTCTTTCAGGTGATGGAAGGGCGACAGATGGCCTGCCTGCAAGCAATCTTAAGACACATCGCAGCCTCCATCTGCAACGAGTTGGAGCGACAAGCATCCCCCCGTCCAGTCAGGAGGGTTGATAGCATTCTTGTCTTGGTCCTCGCCCACGCATCGGCCCGAAACCCTTGAAACCGCCGAGGGTTACACTGCCACTTTTCAGCATCTGCGCTGCAAGGGTGCAGGGCAGACCATGGATGAGGACTTCGAAACTCACACCTGCAGGCACTCAAAGCTCTTACGGTGCAAATCCAAGCGCTGGGGCTACCTTGCGTGCCTGCATGTCTGCGTGACACGGGCTGAAACAACGAGATGCACGGCAGAGTCTTTCCATGCCGCAGATCTGCACTGGACCGCTGCGTGGACCTGACACATTTGCGAGTGACCCTGCGCTCGAAGACGTGCCGACGTCTACGCACAGGCGTCACTCGGAAGACTGACGCAGAAGCGCTTGCAGCCGCTCGCGCTTGCCCCTGACACGTCTGACAAGATACAAAGCTGCAGCGATATTTCTCAGTTGCAAACCCAACTGACGGTCTTGGCAATGCTCGGCGAGCATTCAGCGAAGCATCACGACAACGCCGGCTCGACCACCAAGCGTGATCGGCAAGAACTCAGCACAGAACAAAGTCCACGCGGAAAGAGTTGCAAACCGAGGTGCTCAAGGGGCGGCCTGGCCTGTCGTGTTGGCAATACGCAAACCTTTTTTCATAAACATCTCCTCACACAATTCAAAGCGAAAACAAAACTTTGGGAATGGCTGTAAAACGGTCCTGTTTCCGAATCATGGCGTTTTTCCATCTTCGGGTCTAGAGAAACTACTTTCATTAGTGGCTGATGGCGCGGGATGCACGAAGATCATGGAGCGTTCTTGGACCTCATGCAGGCAGGAGGTATGCCGGATCCCATCTTCTGCACTAGCCGCTGCGAGGAGTTTTTTGGGGTGGATTCATCTCGTGCACATCAAGCTACGCAACTTCGTCTGCACGGCTAGGAACGTGTGTTGGGGGAGGTGGACTGAGCAAGTAACCTCACTCGCCCAAAGAGAGATCCAGATCACACGTCCACTTCCAGTGCGACTGCTGCGCAGATCATATTTCAGGCCACCCTGGCCTTCGCAGCCTGCAGGAAGCTGATGGGCAAACTATCGAAAGCTAGCAGGCGGGAGTTCACCGCACAGGGGGGGTCGGGCGAGCATGCCGCCGGGGCTTCTCCCTGCGAGGGGATAGCCCCGCAATTCGCTTTAGACTCTACCTGCTATCTTCTTTGGCAAAGGGACACTGGTTTTTTTAAACTATCGGATCTCAGATTCACTTGCGTTTTTGAAGCTACTAAGTCATGTCGCTGCGGCGCCTGGCCCTCCACATGAAGATGAGAATGCTACTCGCGCGGAGGGTCCTGTAACACAGATCTCTCATGCCGCCTCATTGCAAGACGGGCACAACGGAAGACAGCTCAATAGCACCTGCTCGCCGCGAGGCGTCCAAAATGCAGTCCCTGCAAGCACGCCCCAACCAGGCTTGTGCAGCTTTCAATAAGCTGCGGATGGAGCGTGCGCATGCCTGAGTAGCTGCTTCAACTTCTTACTCGTCAACTCCGGGACCGGCAGGCATCTCTTGCTGGATAGGTGGGGCGAGCATGCAGGCTCGGCCCAGACACAGATTACATGGTCAACGATACTCCCGGCCTTCTGTACAGCTTTGCAGACTCTTGGGGCAGACATGGCGGGCATCTAAGGGCAAATAGAAAGCCGACAGCGCCATCTCGAGGCCAGGCTCCACTGCACGGAATTATCCGAGTTCTTTAGACGCGGCAGAGGAGACTTGGGCGTCTAGAACCTCCCCAAACTATCTGCGAGATCGTCTTGCCGAGCTCCGGCCTTGTAGTAAAATACAAGGATCTCGACGGGAGAGTGGCAAGAATCGGTGATGCGGCTCTCTGCGCACACAAGGTCGACGGCAGAGACGGAGAGCGGCTCCCAGTACTTTTGGCCGAGGTTCTATCTCACGAGAAGCATGGAGGAACATGCGGGGAAGTTCTCGCATGGACGGCTGCGCACAGACTGACGTGTACACGGGAAATGCCTCGGCTCATTGCATGCATTGCGCTCACAACTGGGATATGGCGGCAAAGAAGCTTGCAGTTCTCGTAGCATGCCGTGTGGGTAAACTCCCACCGCATTATGGTGTTCCTGTGCTGCCACCCACATGTCTGGGAGCAAGTTGGAATCCGGCAAAGCCCACGAAGACTTCTGTAATGCAAGAAATCTTGGCGTGCATGCTTCGCCAGCTCTATCTGGTCAAGACGGTACGCGGAGCTCAGCCCATACCCAAGCGTCCAGCAAGCTGCTCGTAGGCAACACAGGGAGAGTAAACGGCCACTGATGCCTTAAACTGCTGATGCCCCTGCGCCTGTTACCGAAAGAGCCATCAGCGCCGTCCGAAACTTAGGCAAAGGTTTTGCAAAAGGAGTGCTGGCGGCTTGTTGGTCTTTCCTTGAGGGATCACAAAGGCATTCGAAAGCTCAGCGGTGGGCTCTCCTCGTGGGTGCAACGTGCAAGTCGCCGAACAGTCGCTGCTTCAGATGATCCAGAGGTCCATCCTCATGGCCTCTGCGCGGCCTCCTGCACTGACTCCAAGCGGTTCATCTCTGGCCGCCACGTAAGAGCACAAGGAAAGAAGGGAATGGCGTGTGTCAGCGCCGCGGGTTGTGCACAGCTCTCGCTGTGCAAGCTGCGGAGGTCCAGCAACGGAGACACTGGGAAGAGAGTCCAGCTTCGCCACGCGAAGACCGGCCCAGGTCGAAGACTGCTTGGTCCTGGTCTTCTCCGTGGCATTCGTCTAGAGGACCTCTAAGAAGCCCAGCTGCCGGCAACGCTCGCGACTGCGGAATCCCGCATCGTAACACAGCTTGAAGGGCACGTTTGTGCGAGTCTCAGAGAGACATTTAAAGCTGTGTGGCAGCTGAGGTGAAGCATCTCAGCCACTCAGCCTCAACTTCGCACACTCACAGGCTCATTATGTCCATAGCCTGTGAGTGCAAGAAGGAATGTGCAACCTTTGCTGGCTCACGAGCTACATAACACCATGAGGCCACAAGCATCCGAAGGACGTTGTGGAAGCATGCACAGAGTTGATACAACACCCCGAGTGCCTAGATTGCGGTGAAATGAAAAAGGCTATTGCAGCGATGCCACCGCTTGCATGCCATCCACAGGTCAATTGGTCAAGATTTTCGTGGCCAGTGGAAAGCCACATGCCGCTTTAGCCCCTCCTCAGCCGAGAAAGGATTGGGAGAAGGATTTTCAACCGCAAAGAGGCGTCATCTATCTCGAGTGATTGAAACTTCTCTGCGAACTATCAGTTGCGCTGTAACAACAGCTGCAACAGCCACTCTCGCCACAAGCAGCGGATTCTGCATGCTGCGAAGGATATCGCATTCACGGTGTACATTGGCTTCCTGGCACAGGTTCCCATCCTGCTGTGCCAGGGAATCACTTTCATGGAAGCGAACGCCTTCTGCTAAGATATCAATTAGGCGAATTCACTGGAAACTTCTTCCGATTTACCCAGAGCGTTTTTGAGGGTTTGGACTTTCAAAACTGACGATTTAACCAAGTCGCAGGGCACCAATCTGAAAACAGAATGGAACAAGTGTACAAGCGGATTGAGTCTGCAACAGAGCAGAGGGACTGCTGTTGCCACGAAGACTCGAATTCAATAACATTAGTCATTAGAGCTGCCTAAGGCCGTGCACGATCATCAGTTTTGGTAGCTTGCGTGGGTTCTTGACTTAATCACACACTCGGTGACCGATTCACGTACAGACACCCTTATGCCTTATGCTACCGGCCCATGGACATGCACTTCCAGAGGGCATCTCGAAGCAAACTACCTCCCTGCACTGCTGGATCCTTTGCAGGTATGCGGCGTCCCTTGGAGCAGAGACACAGCCAGGTGCGACAGGTAGCTCGTCAAGGTGCATCTGGAGAAGCGCGTACAGGACCACACACGGCTAGCAACCGAAGCAACGGCCACGCACCAGGACGGCTCCGCCTTAAGGCCCAGATCCTACGTGCAGGCATATGACGGCCCCGAGAGCTTTGGTAGCACCTGCATTTTCATTCTACAGCTCGTGACCTGGGAGGGGACGAGAGTGGAAAGGCACAAGGATGCTTGCCGCCATATGGGGTTACACAAGGGATCTGATGGTGCTGTAGCCGCGTGTGGCCACGAAGGGCACGGCTCCGTCCGAAGTGGTTATGCCGCCTGGCAGAAGCAAGATCGGCCAGGCTTGACATGCAAAGCAGTGTCGCAACGACTTCGGCGCCTCTGACACCGGTCTGCACAGTAGTAGACCAAGCCTGATGCAAGTGAGAACATCTGACTCCAGATGGCTGTGAGTGCGAAAGCAGCAGCAAGAATCACGTGACCTGGAACCCACCACCGTCGCAGCAAACGGCGTGCACCAGCCCCTGACGAAACAAGAAGTCAGCTCACACAAACTCGAGCGGAACATAGGATTCCTAATATTGCTACCAGTAGCAGTGCCTGGGAGACTTGAAACTGAGCAACCCTAAACCCCAAACCGGAACTGCAGCCTGGCCTGGATCCTGGACCTGCTGAACTTGGCCCGGGCAGCGGCATCGCTCACGGAATTTCGACTACCAATCGACACTTCAATAAATTTCCCGCAAGACATGGCCATAAACCCCTGGGCAAAGCTGGCCGGAGTCCAGATTCTGTCCGTTCGTGATCTTGCTCCTGTCTCTGTCGCGGCTCTCTCTAGTTGTGTTTATCTATCGATACCTTCCCGGCGCTTGAGATCAGAGAGGCGCGGCGCGGCCATGGGCATGGGCAGTTTGCTCGTCGCTTCACCGAAACGGCACCACATGACCTCCAGGCTGGCGGCCTTTTTCCACTTCCGCCAGGCGAGGTGCCTTGGAGCTATCGGCTATCGGCTGCCTCCTTCAGAGGATCGCTGAACTATGGGGTCCTAGAGCGTGGCGTTGTTTCCGGCCCGGTGGCATGGTGAAGCTCGGCATGTCCGAACGAAGCACAATAAGGACACCCTCTGCTCTGTTGAGACGTCCGGCCAAACATGGAAGATCTTTTTAGTTAAGTCAGTGGTTGTCGTGGTCCTCGTCGTCGTGTAGCAGTGTAGTGTTTGTAGTCGTCGTCGTGGTGGTTGTGGTTGTGGTCCAGGTGGAGACGGTGACCGGAGCAAACCAGAACGCAGTAACAGGAAAGGAACAGACCATAACGATGCTCCCAGACCTTGAGGAGATCTCGAAGACTCGTTCACTGAACATCTCGTCCGATAAACTCTGGGACAGGACAGACTCAGTGCCGGAAATTGCTGATACGTCAGATCTCGATAGCAATTTCTGCTGCAGTCTTCATCCGAGACAACCTTCTTTCCTAAAGCTTCGTGAGCACACACCAGGAAACAATGTTTGGATTGAAACTGGCGGAACAACGGCAGCCCATGCCTTGACATCGGTGACTTTATACATACAGCTTTCCTGTTCTAGAGTGGCTTCGGCATGGGCTTCAGATTCATGGTGAGAAGCAGTCGAGTCGCATCGACTCACATCGTCTGCCGTGACACCTTTGGTCAATCCGCCCCACGCATGGCCTTGCAACTGCGGCTGGAGCACTGCTTGGCCCGACTGATTCCAGCTGACAGACCTCAAATTAAATCGCAATCCAGGACCCGGGAGCCATCTTTGCATGACTTATCTTGCAACAGCGTTCTCGTGCTACTGTCAGTTCGTCGTGGTGCATCTCTAGCCGTTGCCAGTATGTATTGCAATGACTATTACAGGCACTAATAAATGCACGCAAAGTTTACTCCCCGGCCTTCTCCATCATCTTGTTAGCCTTCAGCTTGGTCTGCCTCTGTTTGGAGCAACGTGAGAGCTGCTTTTGCTTCGTTGTAGGGGTGCTGCCTGATTTGTTCTCCGTTCTTCTTGGCCTGCTGAAAGTAGAGGTCATAGTAACCTGCGCGCACTGGAACAGTGAAGACATGCCGAAGTCGGTGCATCGCATGTGCATATCTCGGCAGAGCGGCGCCAAGCATCATCCTGCTGCAGCTCTGCCTTCACAGGGGTCCAGCTCCAACGTTCGCTTGCAAGCAAATGCAAGTGAAAGTGTGGGGTGTAATGAGTTTATTAGATATATCTCTGCCAAGGAGACTGCTATGAATGCACATGGTGTGGCACCTTCACCGCACTGGGCGTACGATGTAGCCGCCTGCGCAGAACTTCGAGGTCTTCCTGCCAAGCTTGCATGATCTTGCATACAACGTTAAGGGTTTCGATCAGTCGCACGATCAGATGATCTCCTGCTCTAAAGCTATTAACACTCGGCTTCTGCACCTGCACCGCAGAGTAATGTTTCATGACCTCAGTGCGCCGGGAGAGGTCCGTGCGTCAAGTTGGCAGCTGGCCGCTTGCGACACAACGGAAGACTGCCAAATATGCGGTGAATATGATGAGCAAACTTGTTCCGCCTGCCAAATTTTTGCCGGATATTTGGCCGAGCTTCTGGTTGAGATCTGATGTCGTTTGCCCACCCCGAGGTCAGCCGATTCCTTGCCGCACAACACGACGACTAGGGGACCTCGCCTGCACACCAGATTCTTCAGAGGCCCTAAAAAAGGAGCTGGGTAGCACCTATTGCTAAGGAGCAAACGAACTCTGCGGAACAACAACAACAACAAACGCAGTAGTAGTAAAGAAAAACAAACAGCGCTGTTGCATGCGAGCTTCGGGGAACACGGCGGCAACTTCTCCATTGCCTGCAGCTCCTGCTGAGGACATGCATCTGTAAGGGGTGATTTTCAGATTCCTATGAAGGGATGCTATAAGGGCTGCGACAGGGTTGCTATTCGGTGTACCATACAGGGATATAGTAAGCGGTTAAGCACAAATTCAATCAGCAAGTTAAACACAACATGAGCTTTGCATTTAAGGCACCTGCGGTACCCTGCAAGTGGATGCTACCGTTTACGGCGCTCTACGGTACTCTTTGAAGCCAGACTTAACAAGCTCCTCCAAGAAGGTGTCAATGGTGCTACCTGCATGTGCCAGTGGCAGCCAGGCAGAATGTTGTCTGTCTGCTCGCAAAATTTCTTTGAAAGGTTCTCATGCAATAACTCCTGCCAAGATCACTTATAACTTATGCTACTGCTGTATATCAGCTCCGCAGGTGTGCAAACGACTCGCACTGCACAACGCACCACGAGCCTGCGTCTCGGCCGCCATCCCGAGCTCTTACCTCATGCTCGCAGCGTGCTGTTAGCTTGATTTGTCCCTGGATTGTGGGATAAGATCGTTAGTTGAGACAGCTGTCAACCTTGCTGTTACTTGAGTTGAGTTAGCGTGTGTGTGTGTGTGTGTGTGTTTTTGTGCGCGTGCGTGCGTGTGCGTGCGTGCGCGCGCGCGTGCCAACCAGCACTTACCGTGCTGCATTGCATCACTCCGACGTCTCTCTCAACTTCTCCGGCGGGCTCCGTAGTCGTCATCGCCCTCCCGCTAGTGCGAAGTTCACAACAGCATTTTGACACCAGGGAATCCAATTCAAACTCGAGCAAGCGCAAGAGCTTCGATGGTATGTTCAGTCGCGTGCCGAAGGCACGAACAGAAGTAACAGAAGTGGGGTAGTGCCGAGGGCTAAGAGTTATACAAAGGGGGCCCCGCCAAAAGCAAGCCTCCACCATTTCCCAGACTCCACTGACTTTCTTCAATGGGTGGCCAGTGCCGAGAGATCCCAGCAGCTTCTTCATTGAATTGCCAGGACAGCTGCTTGTAGGCTGACGGATTGTAGGTTGGGTGCTGCTCCACGGTGGCGCGGCCGTGGCACACCGACAGGGGGCATGCCAGGCCCGGGCGTCTTTGCTTTCACCTAGGCTTCCTAAGGCCTGGCCTGCGTGTCGGACTGGCTTTTGGCCAATGCCCGCTCCTGGCAAAGGAGGGAAATTCAGTTTGGGAGACTTTGGGAACGAAACGGGTCGTATCTCAGGCTCCGGGATTCAGCGCCTCAACTAGCACGTCAGGGCTCGATTCTGGGATGCAGGGATACCTGAAGGCCTCGGGCTCAGTCTTCTCCAAGCTTTTCCAGCTTCGAGTGTTGCACTCTGGCGTCCTTGTAAGATGCCTTGCAAGCAGGCTTCGCCAAGGCTTCCAGGTAGGCTGCCTCGGAAGAAGCACAGGGCCATTCAGGGCCCCCATACGACTAGTGGCAGTTGCCAGCTATTCCATTTCGCACTCTTGCACACACTCTGTCGCAAACGTCTCGGGTAGAGGATGCTCGTCTCGTGACAAGTTTCACAGGACAGTTTGCACAGAACAGCTTGCACGGGTTGCACGGATTCCGTACACAGTGGCTGCTGGTGCTATCTTGACTGCTCCAGTCCACATTCCAAGACGATGCCACAAGCCAGCCATCCACCACCCACACCCCACCCTCACCACTAACCCAACCACCCCCAAACATCCACAGGACTGGTTGAACATTTGCACGACAACTATGTTTTCAGCAACCCTGATTTGTGATAACCTCTTGTGACCTTGTGTGCTACCATGAAAGCAAAGATCGGGCGCCAGTCCCCCTAACACCGGGGCGATGGCTTTGCCCTTTCGCTGGATTCTGTCGCCAGGCAAGCTCCTGCAAGCTTCCCAGTCAAGAGCAACCTCGTGGTTCCTTAGCCTTTTACTTTTTGCCCACGCGCGGGGGCCTCCCAGGCTTCGACGGAATCGGCCGATTGTCCCAGCCTTCCTGGCATGGCGGATCGCCCCAACTGTCACGTGCTATCCTGCACTCGTAGTCTCGTTCTCGTGCCTTGTAGCCATAATCGGACTGGGCCTGCGATGCTCAGCAATTCGGACTCACGAGATTTGTTGAACCGAATTTTGGCAGCTGAATCGAAGCCGAGCTCTTCTCCAGAAAACTGTGCTGACTTCCAGCGAAAAACTGTCTTGCCCACTATAGTTCTGCAAACGCCAGAACACATGCACCCTTCGGTGCCTTTCCGAGGTTGTACTCGGGGTGCCCGACAATAACGAAGTCCGAGCGGGAGCCTGCAAAGTCCTGTCTACGAGACTGAAGAACCTACATCTTTTTTGCTTCGGGTCTGTCAGAGGCACTCAACCTCTTTGGAAATGACTCGGAATGACTGTCTCCTGTTGTTTCAGCTGGGCCAAGAGCAGAATGTGTAGGCAACCCTCTGATCTCCGCTTGGATTCGCAGAACACAGATCTTGCTCAGTTCCAACGATAATAGCCTGGTGGAACCTTTGCTACAAGGGAGCTGGTCAGAGTTGCGAAAATCCACAGAGCTACGTCCTCCGCACAACGATTGTGGGTGCTCCCAGAGTGCTCCCAGAGCCCCTCAAGAAACCGTCCAAGAACTAATTCTGGCAGCGGTCATCATAGATCGGTCCTACTGTTGACTTTTACACATCTAGTGCCCACATTCACAAGGTGGCGGAAGCATGCTTACCGCATGTCAACTTGTCAACGTGGCATTGCAAGATCAATCAGGTACTGCACAACATGTTCAATCGTGCATTGTCTGTCCGCGTAGAAGTTATTGATGAGACGAAGACCATACATGTCCTGGGCGAAAGCGCGATTTCAATGCCGCGCATTGGACTGAGCAGTCGCAACTGCGAACTGAACGATCGAGATTAAATTAGATGTGCCAGCTGCCGTGACATGTTGCGTGCTTGCGTCCCCTGCTCGTTCCTGGGCGGAGACTTGGAGGATTCGGTCACAACTAAGAGCCGCACGAGAGAAGCGATGCTGTCGAAGCTGGCTCGGGTTCTTCCCGAGGTTTTACGAGACGGTGCAGAACAGAGTGCACAGCAGGTCATGAAGGCTGTGCCTCTGCTAATTCTGCCAAACATGCGGATGTCATCTTGCAGCACCATGGTGGCTGCGTATCTATGCAGCTAGCAAGCTCCCTACGCACGTTGTTGAACATGTGAGTCATAAAATGACTACGAAACCTGAGAAGAGGCGGCGCGCTATGCTTCATGTCTGGTGCACATCTGAAGCAGGGTCAAGGCCTGGCACAGGCAGCTTCTTGCCACGTCCTTGTGCCGCTCTCCTTTTCGACGCGCTGGACCATGGCTCGCCGTCGCCATCGTCTTCACTGCTGATCAGCTCCTCCCAGGCAACCCGAGCAGCATGACCTCGGCTCGCTTGCGCGTTGTCACCCGTCCGTGTGTCACAAACCATGCACGAGGCAACGGAGATCAGCTTACTTTCGCACCAACTCCCCGATTACGCTCTCACCTTTCGCGCACTGAGCTCACGGCCCGGAGACCGAACTGGAGAAGTATCTGCCGCCTTCGGGCCCGAAAAACATTTCCAAATGACAGAACGACTTCCTGCCGAGAGGGAAGCAGCAGATCCAAGCGTCCTAAGAGCAAAGCTGACACGCGAACATCCACTGCAACACAGCCTAGCCTATCAAGATCAGTCAAGATAGACTAGACTGAAGTAGGGCTCATAGACCGAGGTTAACAGACCACCGCATGCTCTTGAAAAAAACTGAAATGAACAAGAGATGACACCAGGACATGTTAGGATTCTCGCTTCCATGTACTCCACTGGGCTGTGACTATAAGCGAGCAGAAAATGCTGCGCGAAAAAGGTTGCGACGGTACAACATAGTCAAGTTGACGTTGTAGCATATCGCACTGTGATATGACATACCATAGCACAACATGATACACCGGATCAACCCTATAGATAAGAAGGTTAAACAGCGAAACAAAAGGGAGAGGAAATGCGAGTACAATACATTCTTTGCGCGTGCTTGGCTCCGTCTACTAGGCTACGTACATAGGTTCCAGCACCACGACAAGCGGACAACCGCGTCCACCGTGTGCCTTCCTCTGGAGGATCTTCGGTGTTGCAACCGGCTTGGACGCCTCCTTCCAAATTCGGCATGTCGGTGAAGCTGTCTCGACTTCATTTTAAGTAAAACCTTAGCCGGGCCCAAACTCTTCTAGTAACCCTTATAGCCTCACAGTAGTCCCACACGGGTAACCCCATTTCTAGTACCCCGATTATCGCGTTGGCCATAGCTTCATGCCGGGCAACCTTTTGGGCGTCTGGAGACCGCTCGCAACCTGGCTGGCAGGGCACAGGAAGTCTCTATCACGCCTCTTTTTAGGGGCCCTCTGAAGGCTCCATAAGGGTTCTGTAGCGGTTCTAACAAACAGATGTCTCCGATACCCTATGATTGACCCCAGCCTGCGACCGAAGTCGAAGACACTGACAAGGACAACACTCCTTGGCGAGAGCAGGGGCGTTTCGACACCGGTGGAGAAAGCTCTAGACAACCGCCTACCGCTCTTCTCTTCAGAAGCCTGGGTCCATGAGCGAAGGTTTGGAAGAAACTCCCAGGGCTTGCCAAGGTTCGCGTGTCCCAGTAATGTCCCAGGAGGGAAATGGCAGCATGGATGCTCAGACCTCGTTCAAAGCCAGCCCCTCTCGAGGTTTCAAAAGCCTTTCAGGCATATTCAGGCACGGGCGTGGCATCAAGAGGCGCTGCCAGGGCGACTTCGAAAAGCTCTTGAACCCCAGGAGACCTGCGCGCTGGTCTGCTTTGAAGAGCTCGCGCGAGGGCTCACCGCTCGGTGCTGCGGGTTTACCTAGAGCTTTTCCGGCTCGGTGATCAAATTCCGACAAAATCTTAGCACGGAGTCTTGCAACAGGAGCCTAAACGGGTCTTCATGCAGCCTTGGGCCAGTGATTCCCGGAAGCCACGCGGAAAGTCACGCTCGCCATGAAGCAGCACGACCTTCACACGGCAAAAGGCTGCATGCTTCCGAGACACACGTTCCTACAAAAGACTTTGCTAACCCAAACTCGGAATCCGGTGGTGCGAAGGGAGTGGACGGGAGGGGACCGCAAGGGACGGGAGGGGAGGGAGTGGGGAGGGGAGGGGGGAGGGGCGGGGTGACGTGATATCCCCTTCTTATGGGAGGATACAGGTGCAGTATGGTCCTCTAAAGACCTAATGACTTGTCCCTTTGCGCGTGCTGCAGTAAGCCCTGTTTGTACTCGCTGAGAAAGCTGATATCAAGTAAACCACTTGAGGCCACATGTTACGGAACATATATATGAGTGGCTGTCATTGATGAAAGGACATGCTTGCACTGCCCTGCAGCGAACACTGAGACGATAATTTCTGTTCCCGTAATCATGACTCCCACTCACACATATGATCTGTAATACTTGTTACCAAATAATAAGCTGCGGAGTAAGACTGTGCTCGGTGTTAAATGGATCTCCTTTGTAGAAGATGTCCCTGACAAAAAAAGATCTGAGCTGAAGAAAGCTCACTCCGTTTCTTCATCGCTTTTCGATTGTCTGAGTCTTAGGAGAGATTGTGTGTACAAATCATGTCCTATGCTCTCAGGATGAACTCTGCAGAGTGTCCTCCGCGTTGTTAAAGCTTGACACTTTCTGGACCTTTGTTCCTGTTGGAACTTACTGGTCTTCGTCTGGCCTATAGTGCGCGACAATCCAGTAGGATGTGGCTCATCCGGATCCGAATCAGCACAATAGTATTCCTCATATTCAGAATCATAAATTGCGAGGAAACGGTTTTCTGCCCTTGTGATGGGTTCTCTCGCTGGGATCACCTGTTGGTGAATCTTCCTCAAAGGATACATCGTTGAAGAGCTGGCATATCAAGTCCTGGCATTCCCGGAGCTTTCCTTGCATTCTCTCATGAGGGGCAACTTGCACAGCCATTGACTCATGGGCTGCCCTCGGAGATACGAGGAGTTGATTAACCGTTCTCTGAAGGTCATAGCTCTTCTATCTGCGTCCGAACAGACTGTTTCATGAGAGAAAAGTCTTGCGCATCGGGGCAAAGGCCGGACGGCTGTAAACTCGTCTCTTATGTCTGTCCCTTTCGTGGAGAGTCTCTCTCATAAAGGACACTTGGAAACTCGCCGGCCCACAGGTTTTCCTGGTTTCGGCCTTCAAGTTCCGCCCTTCTCTGGTCGAGGTCTTCAGGGACATTCTCCATGGCATGCCAAACTGAGGACGTCTCGGTTTCGAGAATTTTGGTCGCTCTGATGCTCCCCCTGATTTGCTCATTGTTGAGCTCAGACAGCTGATTGACAAGACGGATGTTTTCCTGTGTGGATTCAACCGTCTGTCTTCGTCGAGCATCTGACCTTGCATTACGGGCATTTTGGCCTCCACGTCTAGTGCGTGGTTTTGCTCTTGGCTGAGGACTAGCTGGGTTCTAGGAGGGGGTTCGTTTGCCGGTGGAGGAGCAATACCCCGTGGAGCCTTGGGAATCGAGAGCTTCGGCACTGAAGGAGCACTTGGTGGTGCGGCATTTCCTCGTGCAGCCGCACGCGACTAAGACGGTATGGAAATGTATGTCACTCCCATCCGTTCATCTGCCATACGAGCCGCCATGGCATCACTGAACACTGCCCACATTTGTGAGGTATTTGCTGCCCGTTCATATTCTTGCATTCTGTCGATGTCGCGCGCAGTAACCCAGGCTCTAGCGTCACCGCGGTTAAAGGGATCGTTTCTACGAGTTTCAGCGACTTCGACACACGTCTTGCATAAACTCCTTGATACTGTTGATGATAGAAATCCTGTATTACCTTAAGGACCCTAAACTATGGGAATTATGGTATAACTTCCTTATTATGGGTAATGCAGGACCATGCAGGATTTATATTATCGCAATTCGAAGCTGAGTGCATCCTCTAGACAGATGATACACACTGTCCAACCTGGTTGTATGCCACGTCTGAGGGAAGTACTTTCGACTTGGGCAACTCTCGCTGGTCCTTGGACACTTTCTGTGTGCACTGGTTCCGCCTCGGGCTCGAGGTTTGCAGCTTACGCCTTTGCGGCAACTTCGGCTTTTGCCTTGGCTTTTGACATCGGCCGAAAGTTGTCCATACATTGAATAGGACTTCTCGTGAGTTGCTTCCACATCCATTTTAGACCCATCAGCAAAAGAAACACATCCCATGCAATGCTGAGATATGAGAAATCACCTTCACTTGTTAGTGAATTGGTCTTCTCTTTTCCTGC